AGGTTGGATTATAACAGCAGCCCTTGAGACAACTACTATTTTTCATATCATTTTGAAAATAGGAAAACTAAGGCTCAGGAAGGTAGAGTGGCTTGCCACACTCTGGAAACAGTGCTCGCTCTGACCCACCACTTAGGTGAGTGTAAGACAGTCATTTTCAGCCGAGTCAATTGTGCTCACACAGACAGTTGATTTCCAAAATGGAAGGCTGAACTCTGACCCCTTAACCTTGGGGATGCCTCCGGGAGATGCCACCTGTAAAGCCACTGAAGACCGGGCTCTGTTTCATCTCCCCAAAATGACAACTCTGCCTTTGAAGCTGAGTTGAGGTAGAAGGAGGGACTTGACTCTGGGGGCAGGGCTCAGACTTCAGATTAGATTGAGAACTGGCTGAGACAGGGAACAGACGAGGGCACCTCCCCATAAGAAATGCCCATCCATGCCACGTCAGCTGCCATTGCCATGGCAACACCAGAAGCTATCACCCCCTTCCATGGTAACAACCTGATGACCTGGAAGTCACTACTCTTTTTCTGGAAGTTTCTGTGTCTTCATCCCCTTAATTTGCATGTCATTAAAAGTGGGTATAAATGTGATGGCCGAGCTGCCTCTGAGCTGCTCCTCTGGGCTCCCTGCCTCAAGGGTAGCCCTGTCCTACAAGGACCAGTCCCCTGCTGCCACTGTTTGCAGTCCAATAAAAGCTGCACCTATCACCACCATCTTACCCTTGAATTCCTTCCGTGGTGAAGCCAAGAACCCTCCCAGGCTAAGCCCTAATTTTACGGCTTGCCTGTCAGACAGCAGAGTCAGCCAGGAAAAAATACCTTTCTTCTGTGTCTCTCTTTTTTTTGTGTTTTTAAGTTGATATTTCATACTTGTCCATATTTATGGGGTATGTGTGATATTTTGATCCCTGCATACAATGCATAATGATGGAATCTGTGTAATTGGGATAGCCATCACCTCCAGCATTGATCTTTTCTTTGTTTTGGGAACATTACAAATCTTCTAGCTATTTCAAAATGTATAATAAATCATTGTTAACTATAGTTTCCCTACTGCAATATCAAATATGAGAACTCATTCCTTCTAACTGTGTTTTGTACCCATGAACCAGCCTCTCTTCATCCCTCCTCCCCCATCTCTGGATCTTTCCACTTCCTCCACCTTGCTCCATCAATCACCCCCTTTGTTTCCATTTTTGGTTTCTTCTTTTATTCTATCAACAGACATGTTCAAGTCTTCCCACCCTAGAAGAAATGATTCCCTTAATCCTGCTACTTGTTCAAATGCTGTTCCTTCCTCCTTTTCCTGGCAAGAACACCTATTGCCGAGGTAAGCAGAGGTGGCCCTGCTCTGCTGGGAGGGACCCTTTGTATTAAGGATAAAGGGGTTGGGAAGGTGGAGCCCAAGAAGGAATACCTAGGGTCAAGAGCATTCATTTACCCCCTACCTTCTGGCTCAATCCATCTATGGCTTTGACCCTGACCCATATTTATATTCTTCATTGGTAGGCAGAGGGATTCCCAGAAGCTGACATTGACCACACACTCACCCCATCAGTCTGGATTCTGCCCATTCCAATTTTCACTGCTTTCACGACTGGTCTCATACACATCAACATGGTCTGTTGGGATCATTTTGCTATGTTGCTTCTCCAGGCAATTCATGGTTTGATAGAGAAGAGACACCACATCAGTGAGTTCATTTCATTGCAAGTAAAAGAGTATTCAACTTTTAATAATGTTTTCAACGTAAAAACATTTATCATCACAGCATTGTTCACAATAGCCAAGACATGGAATCAACCTAGCTGCCCATCAGTGGTGGATTGGATAAAGGAAATGTAGTACATATATACCATGGAATACTACACAACCATGAAAAAGAATAAAGTCATATCCTTTGCAGCAACATGGATACAGTTGGAGGCCACTATCCTAAGCAAATTAACTCAGGAACAGAAAAACCAAATACTGCATGTTTGCACTGATAAGCAGGAGCTAAGCATTGGCTACTCACGGACATAAAGTTATGAACAATAGACACCGGGGTTGGCCAGGCACAGTGGCTCAGGTGGCTCAGGCCTGTAATCCCTGCACTTTGGGAGACCAAGGCAGGTGGATCATGAGGTCAAGAGATTGAGACCATCCTGGCCAATATGGTGAAACCCCGTCTCTACTAAAAATACAAAAATTAGCCAGGCATGGTGATATGTGCCTGTAGTCCCAGCTACTCAGGGACTGAGGCAGGAGAATTGCTTGAACCCGGGAGGCAGAGGTTGCAGCGAGCCAAGATTGTACCACTGCACTCCAGCCTGGGTGACAGAGCAAGACTCAGTTTGAATTTTTTAAAAAAAGATACTGGAGTTACCTGGAGTAGGGGGAGGCAGAGGGGACAAGGGCTGAAAAAATAACTATTGGATACTATGCTCACTATCTGGGTGAAGGGATCATTCTTGCCCCCAAACTTCAATGTCACTCAGTATACCCATGTAATAAAGCCCTAATCTAAAATAAAAGTTGAAATAATGTTTAAAAAGTATAAGAAGATTTATTGTTTGCTTAACAATGAGTCTAGGCTGCTTAGGGCTTGTTTAGCAGCTTGGCAATGGCACCCAGGACCAGGCGCCCTCAAACACCCTGAGTGTGTTGACATCTCGTCCTCAAAGCTTGCCGACTCCTGGTCACAAAGTGGTCACAGTTGTTCCAAGCACCACAGCCTCACACTGCACTCACAGCAGGAAGCAGCAAAGAAGGAAGTGGGCAGAATTGGGCTTTCTTTTTAGCAGAGAACAAAACATCTTTGCAGAGTTCCCCTGTAGTTTCATTGGCCAGAACTGAGACATGGCCCTGGGCCTCAGTTTCACTTTTTTCTCTGGCCTCCTAACCAGGAGCATTTCTCCGAATTCTTCAGTCAAACTTAAGAGGTCTTCTGTGTGTCCTCTGTTCCAATCATAGAACCCAATGCTTTTCATAGCACCTAATGCCTTCCCCTTTTTTTATTTTTTTTTATTTTTTTGAGACTGGGTCTCACTCTATTGCCTAGGCTGGAGTGCAGTGGCGGGATCTTGGCTCACTGCAATCTCCGCCTCCTGGGTTCAAGCAATTCTCCTGCCTCAGCTTTCCAAGTAGTTGGGACTACAGGCACGTGCCTCCACACCCCACTAATATTTTGTATTTTTAATAGAGACAGGGTTCACCATGTTAGCCAGAATGGTCTCGATCTCCTCCTGACTTCATGATCCGCCCACCATGGCCTCTCAAAGTGCTCAGATTACAGGTGTGAACCACCATGCCCGGCGCACCTAATGCCTTTCTTCCTCAATAAAAGGCACTTTTTAATCTTTTTTATCCCCTGATCCTCTTATCTTATGCATGTATTTCTGAATTAGTAAGTAAGAAAAGAAGGAAGGAGGGGAAAGACTCTATCCCAAGTACTCCTCCTTTTCTTTTCCTCCTGTTTCTGTTCTGCTTTGGATGTCATCTCTTCACAGCTTCAGACCTGACATGCCTTCCAGTCTGAAGTCCTGCATTTTTGACTCCCGCTGGAGATGGGAAGCTCAAATTCAACACACGTAAAACGGAACTTATCATCTTCCACCAAAAACAAATCTTTTGAAATGGAAATAATATTTTTGGAAATATGTCAGTTGCTTTTCTCTATTACAGGCTGTGTGTTTGATTTCTGATGGTTCCTCTGGCTCCGGGAGGGTTAGGATTGTTGCAGCAGGGATGCAAGGAGGAGGAGGGGAATGTTCAGCTTTGGATACACAGAGTAGGCTTTCAATAATAACCGCTTATCATGGAAAATTCCAAATATATCCAAAAACAGACAGAAGAGTACAATGATTTCTCATGTACTCACTGTCCAGCTTCAGTAGTTATCAAGCCATGATGAATTCATCCATATGCCTCACCTACCACTGTAAAACTCATTTAATATCCAACTCGTGTTCAAGTTTTCCTTATTTCCTTATTGTTTTATAATTTGTTTGAATTGTGATCCAGTTAAGATCATTTTTAAAAAGAATTTTTTTTTTTTTTTGAGATGGAGTCTTGCTCTGTTACCCAGGTTGGAGTGCAGTGACACAATCTCAGTTCACTGCAACATCCGCCTCCTGGGTTCAAGCAATTCTCCTGCCTCAGCCTCCCGAATAGCTGGGATTACAGGCGTGCACAACCAGGGCTGGCTAATTTTCGTATTTTTAGTTGAGACAGGGTTTTGCCAAGTTGGTCAGACTGGTCTTAAACTCCTGACCTCAGGTGATCCGCCCACCTTGGCTTCCCAAAGTGCTGGGATTATAGGCATGAGCCACTGAGCCCGGCTGATCCAATTAAGATCTATATGTTACAATTGGTTGATACGTTTCCTATTTTTCAAAAAACTATTGGTTCCCTTTTATTACTCTGTTTCCTTGCAATTGATTGCCGAAGAAACCTGGAGTTTCTCACAGTCCAGTTTTTGCAGATCACGCCCCTAAGGGGTGGTTTACATGTTACTCTGTACGCTGTATTTTCTGTAAGTTGGTGGTTAAATGTAGGGCTGTTAAGATTCAGGTCTGAATTTTTTTGGCAAAGAGGCACATAATGTTTGGTGATGTCAGCAGCTCTTGGTGACCATTGCCTAGAACGATAAAGTAGACACTGTGAAATTATGACTATCATTCCTTCTTCTACTTTTTTTTATTTGAGATGGAGTCTTGCTCTGTCGCCCAGGCTGGAGTGCGGTGGCACAATCTTGGCTTACTGCAGCCTTCGCTTCCTGCATTCAAGCAATTCTCTGCCTTAGCTTCCTGAGTAGCTGGGATTAAAAGCATGCGCCACCACACCTGGCTAATTTTTGTGTTTTTAGTAAAGATGGGGTTTCACCATGTTGGTCAGGCTGGTCTCGAATCCTGCCTTTGTGATCTGCCTGCCTTGGCCTCCCAAAGTGCTGGGATTACAGGCGTGAGCCATCGTACCCCGCCTAGGTAGACTGCTTCTTTAAAGAAAAAAACTATGTAGGGTGATGGAAAAAGAATCCTTAGGTGTGGTTGTGGCCGTCTTGGTCACTTGTGTGCCACTTGCCAATGCTAGGACATGTCATAGTTACAGTGACTGTTAAAAGTTAAAAACAAACAAACAAAAAAAACTTCTTTCATCAACTATTTTGTTATCATGAGGTATAATTTTATTAGAGAAGCTGAGTAAATGAATTCCACCCCCCACCCCATGGTTCCTTTTAGTAGGAAATGATATTTATTATTGATTTATTTAGAAATAGAGTTTTGCCCTTGTCGCCCAGGCTGGAGTGTAGTGACACAATCTTGGCTCACTGCAACCTCCACCTCCCAAGTTCAAGTGATTCTCCTGCCTCAGCCGCCGGAGTAAATGGGATTACAGGCACATGCCACCACACCCAGCTAATTTTTGTATTTTTAGTAGAGACAGGGTTTCACCATTTTGGCCAGACTGGTCCCAAACTCTGAACTCAAGCAATCCACCCACCTTGGTCTCCCAAAGTGCTGGGATTACAGGCATGAGCCACAGTGCCCAGCCCCTCTTTATGGTTTTTCTCTCTATTTTAAAAAATACAAATTTAGATATATTTATAGAAAAAAAATGTGTGTGTGCACATATTCATATCCTTCCTTTTAATTATATAAATCACATAGGTCTATCACCTAAATGGCATACACATTTATATACTATATATATTTCTCCATTTGCTCTTTCCATTTATAGATATAACCCAGAAATAACTACATAGTAATAATACATAGAAATAGCTTTTTTTAAAGTTGAATGGCTATTATGTAAATGTACCGTAAGTCATCCACCAGACCCTCCACCGAAGGATAGCTAAGCAGCTGCCTCTTTAGTGAAGCTGTGCTGTAACAATAGCCATGTGCATGCACCTTTTCATATTTTTGTCACACTATCTTTGGGGTAAATACCTAAAAGCAGGAAAGCCAGCTCAGTGAATGACTGCATATGTAACTTTGCTGGATATTGTCAAGTTTCCCTCCACAGCAACTCTACCATGTTATATTCCCAACAGCGATGTATAAGAATGCCTGGTTCCCCACAGCTTGTCAAGAATATGTTGCCGCCAGGTGCGGTGGCTCACGCCTGTAATCCCAGCACTGAGGCTGAGGCAGGTGGATCACCTGAGGTCAGGAGTTCAAGATCAGCCTGGCCAACCTGGTGAAACCTGTCTCTAACTAAAAATATAAAAACTAGCTGGGAGTGGTGGTGGGTGCCTGTAATCTCCGCTATTCAGGAGGCTGAGGCAGGAGAATCACTTGAACCGGGGAGGTGGAGGTTGCAGTGAACCGAGATCATGCCATTGCACTCCAGCCTGGGCAACAGAGCGAGATTCCGTTTCAAAAAAAAAAAAAAAAGAGAATATGTTGTCAAACATTTTGACTTTTGACAATCTGCTGGGTGAGAAATGATATCTTGATGAGTTTTAATTCACACTTTGCTTCTTATAGGCAAGACTGAGAATCTTTTTTACATGGTTAAGGGCCATTCGGATTTCATTTTCTCTGGCTTGTCTATTTCTCTAGTCCAATTTTCTATTAACTTGTTAACTTGTTGGCCTGTTTCTTCTTTGATTTAGAAGCTATTCATATATAGATGATAACCCTTTGTCTAGAACATGTTTCCCAGGAAGTGATACTTTGCTTATGATTTTTTGGCCATGCAAAGTTGTTTTAACGAAATCAAATTTATCCATCTTTTTCTCTCATTGCTTCAGGAGTTTAAGCCTTGGGAAAGTTTTCTCTGTGCAGAAGTTGCAAAGGAATACTCTCATGTTTTCTTCTAGTAGTTGCACACTTAAGCCTCTGATTTGGAATTTATCCCGGAGTACCATGTGAAGAATGGAGTCCATGTTATCTTTTTCTGCATGACTATCCAGATACCCTCAAACCACTTTCCTTTTTATTCTTTGGAGACAGAGTCTCACTCTGTCACCCAAGCTGGTGTGCAGTGGTGGGTCATAGCTCACTATGGCCTCAAACTCCTGCCTCAGCCTGCTGAGTAGCTGGGGCTACAGGTGTGCACCACCAGGCCTGGCTAATTTTTATTTTTACATTTTATTTTTGTAGAGATGGAGTCTCACTATGTTACTCAGACTGGTCTCCAATTCCTGTTCTCAAGGATCCTCCTGCCTCGGCCTCCCAAAGTGCTGGGATTACAGCCATAAGCCCACCTTGCCTGGACCTCGAACCACTTTAAAAAATGTCCTTCTTTCTCCACGGATTTGAGTTGCCTCTTTTATTATATACTAAGTTTCCGTAAGCAATTTCATCTTGTTTTAGATGTTCTAGTCTTGGTGTGTATGTCTGTTTATGTGCCAACACCACACTGGTTTAACCACAGAGGCTTTGGAATATTTTTCTGTTTCTCTCCATTCCTGTTACACATGTTTAGCAGAGGCTTCCTGGCTATACTTGCCAGGATACTTTTACAATCTTCTAAATAAACTGTTTGTTCTTTTTACAATTTATACAGTTACAAACTTCATAATCAACTTTACCTCCATGAGGTCATCAAGGCCCCTGGTGATCTGGTCAATTCCAAGCCCCTATACCCAGACACCTCTTTAGAGAAAGACTAGAGGGCTGGGAGGTGCCAGTGGGGTCTGGGTGGAGACTGAGCATTTGTTCAAGAGATCAAAGCATCCAGAGACTGAGGTACCAATCTTTGGCAAACCGTTTTTTTTTGTTTTTGTTTTTATTTTTGAGATATAGTTTTGCTCTTTTCACCAGGCTGGAGTGCAATGGCAAAATCTCAGCTCACTGCAACCTCCGCCTACCGTGTTCAAGAGATTCTCCTGTCTCAGCCTCCCAAGTAGCTGGGATTACAGGTACATGCCACCACGCCCAGCTAATTTTTGTATTTTTAATGGAGATGGGGTGGTCTCCAACCTCAGGTGATCCTCCCGCCTCAGCCTCCCAATGTGCTGGGATTACAGACATGAGCCACTGCACCCAGTCGATCTTTGGCAAACTTAAAGTTCAATACACTTCCCTATTACCAAAATGGGGTCTCACTTGAAAATTTAGGTTGGTTGTGGAGAAATAAATTACATTTTCTTTACATATCAGCATAGGAATGTGAGTATATTTGTGTTGCTACTCTACTTTCTCTTGATTTTTTCTCTTCTTTCTTCTTTTCTTTTTTTTTTTTTTTAAGATAGGGTCTCACGGCTGGGTGCAGTGGCCCACGCCTGTAATCCCAGCACTTTGGGAGGCTGAGGTGGGTAGATCATCTTGAGTCAGGAGTTTGAGACCAGTGTGACCGACATGGAGAAACCACATCTATACTAAAAATACAAAATTAGCTGGGCATGGTGGCACGTGTCTGTAATCTCAGATACTCAGGAGGCTGAGGCATGAGAATCACTTGAACCTGGGAGACAGAGATTGCGGTGAGCTGAGGTTGCACCATTGCACTCCAGCCTAGGCAACAAGAGCAAATCTCAGGCAAGAAAGCAAGGAAGGAAGGAAGGAAGAGAGGAAGGGAGGGAGGGAAGGAGAGAGAGAGAGAGAAAGAAGGGAAGGAAGGAAGGAAGGAAGGAAGGAAGCCTCAGCCTCCCAAATAACTGGAACTTCAGGAAGGAAGGAAAGAAGGAAGGAAGGAAGGAAGGAAGGAAGGAAGGAAGGAAGGAAGGAAGGAAGGAAGGAAAGAGGTCTCACTCTGTTACCCAGGCTGGAGTGCCGTGGTGAGAGCATAGCTTACTGCAACCTGGAAATTCTATACTCAAGTGATCCTCTTGCCTCAGCCTCCTGTGTAGCTAGGATCACTGGTGTGTGCCACCACACCTGGCTATTTTTTTTTTTTTTTTTGGAGAGATTCTCACTTTGTTGCCTAGGCTGGCCTGTAAGTCCTGGGCTCAAATGATCTGCCTGGATGTTCTCTTGGTTTTCTTATTTCTCTTAGTAGCATGGCCATTCTCCTCGTCATCCAGGTAGGAAACCTCAGGGTTGTCTCTGCACCCTCTCCTTCACGCTCCCCATCCAATCAGTCATCCACCTTCACAGTGTCCTCATGGCTTTTAGGTTAGATGATCCTCAGGACTTCAAGGCTTTCACCATACTGTTCAGCTATAATTTAAAAATAATTATTTATTACTGTTATCATTATTATTGGAGACAGAGTCTCCCTCTTTCTGGAGTGCAATGGTGTGACCAGGGCTCACTGCAACCTCTGATTCCTGGGATCAAGCAATCCTCCCACCTCGGCCTTCTGAGTAGCTGGACCACAGGCACGCACCATCACACCCGGCTAATTTTTTATATTTTTTGTAGAGACGGAATCTTGCCGTATTGCCTCAGCTGGTCTTGAACTCCTGACCTCAAGCCATATTCCCACCTTGGCCTCCCAAAAAACTGTTGGGATTACTGGCATGAGCCATCTCACACAGCCTCAGCTGCAATTTTTAAAAGAAACGCATTACTTCCAGAGCCAACTCCATGTATACATACACACATACTCTTCTAACCAATTTTAATTTTAATCAATTATCTTTAAGGAGCAAAGTACACCAAACTCCCTTCATGGCCTCATCTGCCCGCTATGTAGCATACATGTTGATGGTGTTTATTGTATGACTTTAGAGCAAAACAGCATGCCTTTTGCAAACTGGTGCCAATCACAATTAAACATCCGTTTTCTATGTGCTGCAGATAGATCTCTCTAAAAAGTATCCGTACACACATCCAGAGATAAAAAACAAATGTGTCTTTATATAGGAACTAAGTTTTGTTGTTGTTGTATTTGAAACAGTCTCGCTCTGTCGCCCAGGCTGGAGTGCAATGGCACGATCTCAGGTCACTGCAACCTCCGCCTCCTGGGTTCAACCAATTCTCCTGCCTCAGCCTCCCGAGTAGCTGAGACTACAGGTGCCCACCACCATGCTCGGCTAATTTTTGCATTTTTAGCAGAGACAGGATTTCACCATATTGGCCAGGCTGGTCTTGAACTCCTGACCTCGTGATCCATTTGCCTTGGCCTCCCATTACAAGCATGAGCCACCACGCCTGGCCTGGAACAAAGTTTTTAGAATCGAAAAACACTACCAGATTCTACTCCTGGGTATATAGCAAGAGTGA